TCTTATTTGCTATTGGCAGCAGTTAGACCTGTTTGAAACCCACGATTGGAAGTGCTCTGATGATCGTGCATACTTCAAAAAGATAGTGGAGACTAAGCGAGTCTTTAAATTCTTAATGGGACTCGACAAATCTCTTGATGAAGTAAGGGGTAGAATTCTTGGAACAAAACCCTTGCCAAGTCTGCGAGAGGCCTTTTCCGAGGTGCGAAGGGAAGAAAGTCGCAAGCGGGTCATGATGGGACAATCTATTCTTGCCGCTCCTAAAGCCCCAAGTCTTGTAGCAGTCAAAGACACTCAGGCTGACTCAAGTGCCCTTGCTGCTCGCAGCCACTCACGCAATGCCAATGACAATCGAACGAGGAAAGGCCGGCCCTGGTGTGATCATTGTTGAAAGCCCGGCCATCTCAAGGAAACCTACTGGCAAATATATGGGAAACCTTCTGACTGGAAACCTAACCGAGACCGCGAAGCAAAAGGGAATGCAGCCTTCAGTGATGCATCACAATTCAGCAACTCCGTCCCTTTCTCAAAGGAACAAATCGATGTGCTCCAACAACTTATACAGAGGGCAAATATCAACAACACCCTTGGAAACAGTGGGAACAATTCCAAGAACAACTCCAGCACCGCAGCTATGCATGCTACAACATCTCCTCATTCCTCTTGGATTGTGGACTCGGGTGCATCCGAGCACATGCCAGGTGACAGATCACTTTTCTCAACCTTTTCACCTTGTAACAGTCCTCAAACAGTGCGTATAGCCAATGGTACACGCACCAAAGTGGTCGGAACAGGAACCATCTATCTCTTAAACACTCTCGTTCTCAAATCTGTGTTATTTGTGCCTGACCTTGACTGCAGTCTTGTCTCGGTTAGCAGATTAAATCGTGACCTTAACTGCGAAACTAAATTTCTGGCTGATTCTTGTGTTTTTCAGGACTTGAGCACAGAGAAGATGATTGGCAGTGCTGATTTCCGTGCAGGCCTCTATATTCTGGATGTCAGCCCTTCTTCAAGTCATTTTGTTGGTCATAAGTGTCAATTAATTCATAGTCTTAAGTCTAGCAGTCAACCTAATAAGGAAAGTGAAATCATGATGTGGCACTTTCGTCTAGGTCATCCCAATTTTCTGTACTTGAAACATTTGTTTCCTTCTTTATTTATCAATAAAAATCCAAATTTCTTTCATTGTGCAGTATGTCAATTGGCAAAACACACTCGAAACACGTATGCACCTCGGCAATATCAACCTAGCCATCCTTTTACTCTCATTCATGGGGATATCTGGGGGCCATTCTGTATTCCTAGTCTTACTGGTAGGGGTGTAAGAATTGAACCCGAACCCGACAAACCAGCTCGACCCTACCCGAGCCTACCCGAAAATGTTGGGTTAATTTTTTTTTTTTTAAATTTCGGATTATAATAGGCCTAACCCGCAATTTGCGGGTTAGGCCGCGGGTGGGGCAAGTGCTCACCCGAGTTGCCCCGACCCGGCCGTTTAATGACTAATGAGAGACCCCCCAGCCCAGAGTAATGTGTTGTGTGTGTGTGAGAGACACTAAGACAGAGTAACCCTAATCCCCCAAACCCGTGTAATGTGAGACAGACTTCCTTCACTTTCAGTTTTCATTTTTCCTTCCTCCCACCCACCCAGTCGCCACTCGCCGGCCGCCGCCAGGCCCAGCCTCTCAGTCCCAGCCTTCGCACGCACCGCTGACTCCCAGTCCCCTGCCGTGAGTCCACTCCAGTTTCACTTCAAGCTTCCCTCGCTCGCCTCCCAAGCCTGAGTCGCCTCAATCTGCCAGTTTTTTTCACCGTAAGTGTTTTTTTTCTTGATTGATGTGTGTTATCAACTTATCACTGGATTATCACCGGATTATCAACTTATCACTGGTTTCACCGGGTTTTGGGTTTGATCAGATTTGGGTTAATGTTGGTTTGGACTCCAAACCAACATTAACACAAATCTGAAATAAAAGCATGAGAAAGAAATAAACTTTGGAATAACCAAAGTTTATTCCAACATTTCAGTCGTCCAAACTGAAATAACCAAATCTGAAATAACCAACATTTCAGTGAATGTTGTTGAGAAGGTTTAGTTTTGTTGTCGTTTTTAGCATGAGAAAGAAATAAAAGCAATCTTGTTGTGTTATCACCGGTTTAGTTTTATTAAATTTCGGATTGAAATAGCTTGAAGCACTGCTGCCTCTTGATGGTTGCATGTTGAATTTTTCTTGCCTGAATTGATGGCTGCATGTTGAATTTTGACGCATGGCAGGACTGAGGAGCTGCTGCCTCTTGTTCAATTTAGCAATCTTACTCTCTCGTTTTCTTCTGAAAGTTCATTTGAGGAGGAGCTGCTGCCTCTTGGTAAGTTCTAGCCTTGATGTTTCAATGCAGATGTTAAATTGTAGGTAAATTTATAGGGAAATTGTGTTTCAATGCAGATGTTGAATTGGTGTTTCAATGCCGATGTTAAATTGGTGTTTCAATGCAGATGTTTGATAATTGTAATATTTTTCCCCATGTCATTGATAATTAATGTATTTATAGGCAAAAACTGGGGTTGTTTTGAATTTTTCTGCAGCAGAGAGCCTTATAGTGGCAGGGCTTCCACGTTTTGAATTTTTTTTAACGGGTTAGAGTCATTGATAATTAGGTTTTGTAAAATTAGGTTTTTTTGATAATTAGGTTAGTGTCATTGATAATTAGGTTTTTTTGACAGCATTAATGACGGTTTACAGAGGGAAAACGTAAACAAAGAGATGACTACATAAAATATCCACTTAGCAGAGGTTTATTTATTTATTTATTTGTATGAAAGCCTAACTTTGAATGCTGATTGTGTCTTGATTAGGTATACTGATTGGAGGAATAAGTAGGGTAATATGATTTAACTTATTCCTCTTTTATGGCTCAAACTATTATGGAGGAATAAGTAGGGTTATACTATTATGGCTCAAACTATTCAGAATCAAATGCTTGAAATCCAATAAATCTTAGAGTTTTCTGTTTTTGATTGTCTGGTTTTGTTTCTGTTTGTTTGTTTCTAGCTCTACTCATGAGTGGATCTTTTTGTTTCTGCTTGTTTGTTTCCAGCCGAGGAAGAAGAGTGAAGACTTAGAAGATTTTGGTTTCTGGTTTGGAATTCAGGAAGAAGAGTGAGCAATTGAAAACAGAAAGGTTAGAATAAATTTCTTGAGTTTGCCATGTGTTGCCTGCTTTCTTCAATGTGCAAGAACATTGTATTTCTTCAATACTTTTTGTAAAAGAACAGTTTGGAATTCATGTGTTGCCTGCTTTCTTCAATGTTGAAATACAGTTTAAGTACTATTCATGGATTTCAATGGAATACAGTTTAAGTACAACCACGAGATACAATGCCATCTCTTCTCCCTGTTTCTACATCGTACCTAAATGGTTCCTCCCACGAACAATGCAACATATATATATATATATATATATGTAATATGCACAAACAATCTATTAGGAACAAGTTTAGAAGGAGACTAGTTGATATTGGAGCATGCATGCTCACTTGATAGGACTTGGCAGTGTGTTTACTTCCATCTACCTTACCTGTCTAATTTTTTACCTGTCAAATTATGAACTCAAACATTAAAACATAAAAATACATTTTTAACTCTTTAAATGACGCTAGCATAATGTGAGACATCAGAATTGGACAAATAATTGGAGTCCATCACAAATCATATTCTTCAATGCAGTTTAAGAAACAGGGAGGAATTCATGGATTTCAATGCAGTTTAAGTACTATTCCATAGCCACAAATCATATTCTTCATATTCTTGGAGTCCATCACAAATGTGATATGTTATCTATTTTTTAGGTTAATTTGCGTGCTAGATGGAAAAATTTATCATCCACCCGACAAAAACTTCTGAAAGCACTTGCAAGTCCTCTGCTGAAACAGAAAGTGTCTCTATGCCTACAGAGCCCATTACCTTATCCACTCCCACACCCAGCCCTACCCCTATACCTAATTTGGGCACTAAAATTGAAAACGAAAAATAGGAGGGAAACAGTAAAAAGAGGAAGAATTCACAAAAAAAGTCTCATGTTTGGGATCATTTCAAAATCATAGAGGGTGGGGATCCAAATGAACCTAGGTGTAAGTGTATTTATTGTGGGGCAACATATGCGTGTGATAGTAGGAGACACGGTACCAGTAGTATGAAGGTTCACATAGAAAAGCAATGCAAGAAATACTCATATAGGAACCAAGACAAAAGGCAAAAAACTCTGAGTTTCCAAACAAACACTGAAACTGGGAGTAGTCTTGTTGCTATAGGCTTTAACAAGGAGCATTGCAGAAAAGCGTTAGCAAAAATGGTGATTGTAGATGAGCTTTCATTTAGGTTTGTTGAAGGTGAAGGATTTAAGAATTTTTGTCAAGTGATGCAACCTAGGTTCTCTATCCCCTCCCGTGTTACGATTGCTAAGGACATTTACCAATTTTTTTTGGAAGAGAGGAAGAAACTAAGGGCTGAATTTAGTAAGGGCAGTCAAAGGATTTGCCTAACAACTGATTATTGGACATCCGTGCAAAATATTAATTATTTGTGTCTAACTGCACACTACGTTGATAGTGAGTGGACTTTGCAAAAAAGGATTATAAACTTTTGTCAAATTTTAAGTCACAAGGGAGAGAGTGTTGGTAAAGTCATTGAGTCATGTTTGCATGCTTGGGGTATTGAGA